AAAGTCACTATGATAAAATCCTAAAACTAGAAATGTGTCATCATGCCACGGATGCCCCCGCATGCAGCCAAAATTTCAGATGGTGCATTAATTATTTTTTTCATTTTAAGTTCAAAGCCCTTAAAACTTTTCAATGTTAACACAAACCATTTTCATACAATGTTCAAGGCACTGAAATTATTCAGTCTTAACCTTTTAAAAATAGCATATTGCATATTTGTAGCCAAAATAATGGCTAAAGTATGAGTGCTGAAACTGAAAGTTCAAAATTTTTCCAACATTCAGGAAAGATAAGTTTGTCTAAAATCATTGAACCACGACCAAATTCAAACATAAACTGCTTATTCCTAAGATGTATCTATATTATTTTCAAAGTGAAAGGGACATAACTCTGCCAAAAAATCATCAAACCATGACCAAATTCCAACTTGACCTGCCCATTCCTTTGACATATCCATATGTCAAATTTAAGTTGAATATTTAACACTGTTCAGTGTTGGGTAGATAATGAACAGAAACTGTAAATTTAATATTATTTTTAAAATGAAAGGGGCATTACTCTGCCAAAAATCATTGAACCATGACCAAATTCGAACTTGGCCTGGGCATTCCAAAAACATATCCGTATGTCAAGTTTGAGTTGAATGTGTTGTACCATTGGGGAGATAATTTACGGAAACTGAAAATTTCATATTATTTTCAAAGTAAAAGGGGCATAACTCTGCCAAAAATCATTGAACCATGACCAAATTCGAACTTGACCTATATTTTCTCATGACATATCCATATGTCAAGTTTGAGTTGAATGTGTTGTACCGTTGGGGAGATAATGAACGGAAACTGAAATTTCATATTATTTTCAAAGTAAAAGGGGCATAACTCTGCCAAAAATCATCGAACCATGACCAAATTCGAACTTGCCCTATATTTTCTCATGACATATCCATATGTCAAATTTGAGTTGAATGTGTGCAACCGTTCTTAAGATAATGAACGGAAACTGATGATAACAGAATGACAGAATGATGGAAGGACGGCAGGACGGAATAGGGTAACACTATATGCCCCGGCCATTACATGGCGGGGGCATAAAAAAGTAATGTTTAGTAAAATACCCAATTGCTCCATCATGCCTCATTCCAACACATACACAGCCATCATCATATTTGATGCAACTCCATGGTCTGAAAGATCATATCCATCATCATATTTGATGCAACTCCATGGTCTGCAAGAGCACATTCATCATCACATTTGATGCAACTCCATGGTCTGCAAGAGCACATTCATCATCACATTTGATGCAACTCCATGGTCTGCAAGAGCACATCCATCGTCACATTTGATGCAACTCCATGGTCTGCAAGAGCACATCCATCGTCACATTTGATGCAACTCCATGCATGGTCTGCAAGATCACATCCATCATCAAATTTGATGCAACTCCATGGTCTGCAAGAGCACATTCATCATCACATTTGATGCAACTCCATGGTCTGAAAGATCATATCCATTATCACATTTGATGCAACTCCTTGATCTGAAAGATCATAGGGGTATCAAAACAACATTCCAATCTCGTAATTTTAACATCTACAATATCTTTACAAATTACTTTCCTACTAAACAGGTAACTATTTGTTATTTTATGGTTTTAAGTTATGTGGCAGATGAAAATAAGTACCATTAAAGTGCAAAGAGGAGCAATTTGACATTATGAATAGAACCACTGACCTTCCAATCTAGATAGCTATATATAGACAATCAACTGTAATTCTCAACTGAATAAAATAATCTTCTAAAACTTGGTTCTATCCATTGAAATCAAATTAAATATAGTAAAATACTCAATAATACCTGAAATGTTTCACAAATTTACACACAACAGGACATACCAAATTGTTTACAAAAAAGAGTTATTATGACAAAATCCTTAAAATCAAGTAACATATTAAAATACCGGCAATTGCTCCAACATGCCACATTCCAACACATACACTTTGCCAATGTTACACAGCCATCCACATCCTTGTGTATCCACCACAATTATGATGCAGGATCAGGACTCTCCAACCTCTTCTATTCAAAGGTCAAGGTCACATTGACTTTGTAAGTAAAAACGGTTTCTGATCAATAACTTAAGAACGCTTAGGCCTAGGAACTTCAAACTTGGTATGGTGATTTGTCATGACCAGCAGATTACCCCCATTGATTTTGGGATCAAGGGGTCAAAGGTCAAGGTCACATTGACCTTGTAAGTAAAAACGGTTTCTGATCAATAACTAAAGAACCCTTCGGCCTAGGAACTTCAAACTTGGCATGGTGATTGGTCATGACCAGCAGGTGACCCCTATTGATTTTGGGGTCAAAGGTCAAGGTCACATTGACCTTGTATGTTAAAACGGTTTCCGATCAATAATAAAAGAACCCTTAGGCCTAGGAACTTCAAACTTTATATTCTATATGTTTGTGTTTTAATACCTATATTTTTTGTACTTGTAGATCTACAGTACTTGGAAGTTGCCAGGTTCTTCTAATTGTAAAATGTATAATAGAATTATAATAATATATTCCAATATTTTGTGTCTGGAGACCCCTTTGAATAGAAGAGGTTGGAGACCCAAAACTCAATAGGGGTCATCTGCTGGTCACGACCAATCATCATACAAAGTTTGAAGAAATAAAACGGGGGCGGAGCGAAAACACGCTAATTAGCGCCCCCCCCCCCCCATGATAAGCGTGTTTTCGCTTCGCGCCCCGCCATTTTAACTTGTTAATTTTCGACTTTTCGCTTGGCGGGGCACTAACAAAGTTCTATGCTCCTGCGTTTATGAATAAATTATGCAAATGAGCCAGGTTTAGCCGCCATGTTGGAGTTTCGGTCAAGTCAAGTCAAATAGTTTATTTATGTCTCTTCATACGTACAACATGATATAAAACTGTTGTGTAAAACATTATAAAATACGAATGCCTTTCAATACAGAAATATAAGAGACAATTCAATCTATACATTACTTAAAACGTTACATAGCATCTATTTTAAAAGACCAAGTATTCTAAGCGTGTTGGAAATCGCTACCTGTTCGTTTTGAAAACTCGTCCTAACTTACAGTTTCCTTGAATGTAGGAAAACTTGGTTTTGTTTGATTGCATATTGATTGATAGGTATTACAAAATATATATAATGAAAATCGATCAATAAATAATTGTATACGAGCGTTATAAAGTAAATTTAATTCGTCAGAATAATAAGGTTCTGTTGCAGGGTATCGGTAAAAGACTGCTTTTTCCCCGTTTTTTAAATTTATTTGAACACGGAGACAATTTTTCTCAAACAGGTTTATGAATATACTTTACGTTGCAACCGAGTTTACTGTGTGTCCATTCCTTATTTAAATTGTCTGAGAAGTTAAATCCGTTTGTTTACATGTAAATGTGTACCGTCATTTAAGAAATAAAACGGCGGGGTCGCGGAACGAAAACAAGCTAATAATCGGGGGCGCGCGGCGAAGTTTTATTTATTAAACTTCGCCCAGCGACCCCGCTAATTAGCGTGCTTTCGTCCCTCGACCCCGCCGTTTTATTTCTTAAAACTCGCTCAACGCACCCGCGCGACGAAATTTGATATTTATTTAATCTCGCTAACTAGCGTGTTGTCGCTGCGCGCCCACGCCATTTTAACTTGTTAATTTTTTACTTTTCGCTTGGTGGGGTCGCGGGGCGAAAAACGAATGACCATAGTAGGTCGCATTTTTGCTCCATATAGGGGAGGTAAAACATGCGCCTGTAAGAGACATGTTAAAACTGAATTCTTTCCCTTGTCAAAGCTGTAGTTCGACAGTATGAGGTTGTTTCATTGCCACAGTGGGCATTATAGTAAGCTCAGCTCATGAAAACTTTTCTACTTGTATAACAAGGCAATACATCTACAATAGACGCTTCAATATTTCATGAAATTTTGCAACAATTCTTGGAATTTTATAATAAAGGAAAACAATATGGTATAAATCTGTGGTAAATCTAAACTTTATTTTAATAATGTAAACCTTAAGTTTTAATTGTCTTGCGACAGCAATTTGACTGATTATGTACATTTTGAGAGTATGCCCACTATATAGACATGTAACATCCATTACTGACAAAAACACTTGCTTCAAATATATTCAATGACAATATATGATTTATAGGCAAATGTTAGTTCTAAATGACAAGAAAATGAATCATGCACCAAAACAAGTCAATATTTTATTGCTTTACCTGCCGCTGACCAATATCTTTTATGTATATATTTTTATAACGGCTCAAAAAACACAGTAATGCGTAAAGTTCTAGATTACTAGTCCTGGTAAAAGTAAGAAAAACTTACAAACAATTAAAAAAAAACAATAAAAAAAAACAAAAACAAAAAAACACGAAACAAAATTAACTGTACTGTATATGGAGAAAATACCACTTTTTCAATTGGTATAATTGTTTAATATTTAAAAAGAAACTGTTGATCAGAAAGAGCATTTTAACTGACAAGCTATCACCCACCCCTTAAATCCGCTACTGTTTTTTTAAAGCTGCTTGATCTCAAAAAAGGGCGTTTCTGGTGTTGTCGTTTTTAAAATTTCAATGGAACATCGGCTGTGACATTTGTTCAGTGCCAATGCACTGAATAACAAAACGACCGTCAATGCAATCAGGTTCATGATAAGCAAATTTAATAATTATTATTAAATTATCGCAATATATATTGAGCGACGCATTGGTCCGTGTCTTTATTGAAGGGAGCTAACTGCGGTTTGCTTGAAACTTGTTGTAGCAACGGACCGAATTTTCTTACTACGCCGAAGTGAAAATAGTACCTAAAGAAGATTGCCTTTGTATATCATTCCTTATTGCCTATACTGAATCAAATTTAACTGAAATTGCTCAATTTAATTCAATTTAATTATATACATATGATAAAATATTTCTTTTATGTAAGTAATTCTAATCGCAAGTTGGAACTATTTCATTTTACCCGTAGTGTACATACTTCCGGTTTGGACGTCCTTGGGTCAAAATTTGTATGGATTTATGAAAGTTTTGTGGAATTTGATTTCTATTTTTACAAAAGATACCGTGAGTTTAAATGTTTTATTGTATTTAAACAACAAAACATGTGTTTGTATATGTTTTTGTTATGCATCAAATATTGTATATGAGTAGCTAGCGTTACTGAAAACAATTTTTAAGTCAAAAGTGGAAAAGTTTAACTTTCACTGTTTCAAGAACAATTGTGGGTTTTGATGGAGTGGCTCCATGGGTGATTTTCTAAATGAAACATCTTTGAAAGAGCTTTGAAAAATGGTCATCAAATTTTGAAATTATCAACGTCTTTGAAAAGTCCTACACAGAACAGTCAAGGGCTATTGAAGTTGCTCAGTTGTTTGTAGACCAAGTTTGATTTAAGGTATTTTCTTATCAACTTGCATGGTAAGTCATACCAATGCATTAGGCCAACTAATTGGACTTCACATTGAGATATCATGCTATTTTGTGTATGGGCAATATCTCCCCTTGGCCTCGTTGAAGGGAGATTCTGACCCAGAACAAAAGTATCTCAGAATCATGAGAGACATAATACGTACATCTCAGTCAGAATCTAGTCTCAATATTTCAACTGCAAAGAAGACCGATTTTACAAACTGATATTAAATAGACCATCATCTATATAATAATAAGCCCATGCACACAATTTGTTGGGCTACTCAGAATCTAGCTTTGGCATGTCAAAATATTTTAACTAACCAATGCATTAGTGATCTAACTTGTTTCCTACATTTATATGTTTATATCACAAAGATGTATTATTAAATTTAATGTTATTTGTATGACTTCCAATTCAAGGATATTGACTGGTGCAATCAAAATAGTATTGTCCAGTGGCATTGATTCCACTCTGTCATTGATTTAACTCTACTTTAATTTATGCCCCAAAGTATCATAACAATTACATGAGAAAAAAGGAAATTTTTTAATGTCAGTTTTAGAAATCAAGGGCACCAGATAAGATACATGTATATTATGCCATACATGCAGTGTTTCTGCCAGACTAGATTTTTTGGGGGTCATTTGTGACCCTCTGTATAAAAATATGGGGGTCATTTGAAATTATGAAGGGTCAAATTTTAAAAAAGTAAAAACTACAAAAGTAAATCTCAGAACTGTTTGATTTCACATGTTAACTTCAATTTCTCACTTTTTGCGGATGCTAACGAAAAATCTTTTAAGGAAGAACCAAGTCTTATTTGCATGAAAACATTTAACCTGTCATATGTCTGTTTATTGCAGAAACTTTGATATTTTTGGCCACTAAAGCAGAGATGTAGATAACATTGTTATCTATGTCACTGAAGTCTAAAGCCCCTATCTTTTGTGGTGTGCTTGCCATTGTGAGAAAAGCGTCTGCATGCACAAATCGCTCGTTTACACCCTGACCCTGCATGTCTAAAATCCGGATACCGTGACTGATTGTAGAACGGTTAAATGTTGTGCCGATAACAACACACAATAGGTTAGCAACTTATGCATACTTGCAGTTACCGGAAATAAATAAATTTTGGATGGCCATTTCGGATACTCGAACAATAATTGCCGATTTTAACGGGATGGCACTAATAATAGGAGAAATAACTTAATGAAAATGCATCTAATTACATGTAAGGCAGATTATCACTGCATCATAGAAAACGCGCTTTGCCTTTTCCAATGCGTCATTTGTGAAATTATTGTGTCAAAAATGCAAGAAGTGCAGAGTAGTGGAAACACTGTACATGTATATGGATAAATTATGCATGAAACTAGATTGTTTACAAAAACAAATAAAATTTTAGATTATGCACTGAACAATATTTCTCTGATGGTAAAAAGTACCAAAATATTGAAACAAAAATCACTGATCTTCCAGCATTCAATTTTTGTTTCCTTGTTCAGTTTCCTAGGGTATGTTAGAAGGAAATACATTAGTATCCATTCTGTGCATTCTTACTTTGTCTTTGAGTCCCTTATCTGAAGACTGATGGAAAGGGCCGAGAAATTGTGATTAGTAGTTTTGGTAGGTATAGTATGGAAGTGCAATTGATGGAAATTTTAAACATCTGGTAGCTGTCAGACTTTAAAACAATTGAATTGTGTTTTCAACCATAATAACAGCTTTAAATGGTCTTTTTGGGGTTTTAACTGGGTTTGGAGGGAGGGGGAGGGGGGGGGGTGAGGGAAGTGGTATGGGATAATATCTGATCAAAGCATCTTATCCCTGTGCTTGCTCATAGTTGTATCAGTTGAAATGTTGTTGTATATTGCTTCATTCTTTCATTTGAATAGAAATGTAGTAAATTTAATAAGAGACTTCTTAATTTTCTGGTGCTCTCTGAGGAAAGATTTATTCTGTGCTTCCTATAAACTAAACTTGACTATGAAGTATGACATTTTCATCTGCAGGACTTTAGATGTGACTGAAGGACTAGGCAAGAAACAATGTCAACTGAGAGTGTGAAGGGCAGTAATGATGATGCCCTGACCTCGAACTCGGATCCAGTAGAAGGTGACAATGCTAATCCAAAACCAGAAAGCCCTGCCGCTGATTCTGACAGTGAAACAAAGATCAGAGCTGATTCAGAAGAACATGAAAAGAAAAGCACTCCACGATCATCGGCGTAAGTATGATACAGAAATTAGAAGAATTTTGTTTAAAGTTAAAGCAGCATGCCTCCAGATTAATGCTTATTTTCATGAAAAATTTAAAAATTTAATTAAATATATAATTTTGTATAGTAACAAAAAGGAAGCAATTACACTTTATCAATAGCACTTAAACTCATATTAATGACAAAAAGAGGTCAAAATATGCAAAAATTGCCCTTACTGCGTTCATAACGCACTGGAAATGAAGTTACATTTAATGAAAAATTAACCATTAATTGCTCATAACTTGTAAATTATTACTCGAATCTTGAATCTTTCTTCTTTTCCTAAATTCTCAGTACATTTTTCTCGAGTTTGAATTTTTTGAAATTTTTTGCTCATCTGGAATCAATAAATCAGTCAATTTTTATTCAGCAGTCAGGCGTAAATATACCATTGGCCATTTACAAGTAAATATTTATACAATAAGACCAAGACAAAACAAAATATGAATCTAATAGAGGTTACGTCATGTCTTAAAAGTAGGTAGATAATACTGGGTAAGTTCTAGCCTAGGATGAAATGTAAAAGAAATTACAGAAAGTAACTAGCAGCCCGTAACATGTTGAAGGGGGTGTTACCCAACTTCACAGTTAAAATGAAACCATTGGTTAATTGATTTGAACGCTAATGTTTAGAGCATATATCATTTTGTGCCATTTGAAATGTCCATTAAATGTTATAGGTGACAAGTTGTTGATAAAACTGACATTATGCTGTTAAATTTATATGACAGTTTAAAAGCACAACATATTGTTTATTTCTTTAATAATCTATAATAATATGATATTACTTGTGATAGATTATGATTTATTCATGGTTAAATGGTTTTAAAATAAAATCAACCCTATATTTTGTCATAGAATGTGAAACATATTTTATTATTTTGCTTTCATGAAATGGTAATCATAATATTTTCCTGACTAAAATTTATGGTAAATGTTCAATTATCTGCAGATTCTCCTGGAAGAAATTGCATGGAAAAACAAAATTGACAGATTAATCCTAGAGTGGTCTATTCAGTATTGTATGGCTCTGAATAAATTAAACTCAAGACTTAGTTTGTTGTCAAAATTCATGAATAATGTACTAACAAAATTATAATATACTTACAAAAATATTCGCCAATTTTAGATTTAAGCCAAAAATTGCAAAAAACAGAACCATGTTTTAAATTATTGCAATATTTTAACAGTTCGGGAGATGGTAGAAAATCGAGTTCACCGGAAAGATCTGGATCATCAACCATAACAAAAACTGCAACTAGCCGGCCAGAGAGTTCAGAAAGTCGTGAAAAGGGTACCGATGAGACGGAGGAGAAAGTTAAACCAAAGAAGAAAACAAAAAAGGCTGCGGCCGACACTGATGGTCATGAAGTATCGTTTACTGTCACAATATCAGTTGCTGTACCAACAGGTAGAAATCACAATCTTTAGTTTAATTATCACATATGTTTAACAATATTTTTTTTAGGTGGGTGATTGTAGGGGTTGAAGGCAAGTTTTAAGTTTTAAGTTACAGTTTCACTCTGATGGTTATTTGGCAATTTTTTCTGGTATGCGTAACAATGGTAACTATGTCCATATTGACAGATTAGTATAATTTTATGCCCTGTCTATGACCTTTTTAACTAAATAGTTAAGTTGAAAAAAAAGAGTAAAATTTCAAATGAAATGAATAAGATCTATCAACATTATGTTTAAATACAGAATTAAAGTAAGTGCTGTCTGGAATTATAACACAGTAAATAGTGTTTCTGGATAAGGAATTCTATTTAACTCTGCAAATAACTTTAAAATTCTTGTCATTTTCAATGTTTTAATAGGATAGTAGATTTTAATATTTATTGAATTTTAAATTGGTAACTTTCTTGTAGCCCTTGAAAAAAAATCACATAAAGTTTTGATATTTTTAATTATATCAGTTTGCAATATTCATGTATCATCATGTATGTACATGTGAGCAACAAAGCTATAGTTCTCTTTTTGATCATCATCATCATATAAATTTGAATAAAGTGATTACCAGTAAAAAAAATCAAAATGTTTTAAGCTTTTTAAAAGTGTTACTTTCCCATATCACAGTGAGACTAAATTACATAATTACATGGTAACCTTTTTGCTTGCTATTATAAATACAGCTGAAACCATTAGGGATTATTTATAATTCATGGAATGGTTCTTACATTCAATACGCATCCTTACAGTTCAGTTCAGATCCGTAACTAAATAATTTTACAATTGATTTTCACGATGGGATATTGGCTTTGTCTGCACATGTTGTTTAACGGAACTCACCAACATTGATTAAATCAGTTGCAAACTAACAGTCTGTCAACAGCATTATAATTTATTAGTTAATTATTTGTTATACGTAAAAGCACATCTTGAAAGAAAAACTGGGGGAAATTTCATTTATTTTGACTCGATAGCATATTAGACTTTTCATATTTATTGAAGTCTTACATATGCAAAGACAGGTTTTCAATCTATTTTCTCATTATGCATTTGTTTTAGTTCTAAAATGGGTTAGATTCCTTTCTTCAGAAATTAAATTCTGTTATCTGATGAAGTTTTTAGTTTGTTAATGAAATGTTAATATTGTAACATAAAAAATAGCAAGACAACACATTATACTAGTCTCAACTTTTATACATCTTAAAGGAACCCCACTGAGGTCCAAAAGCCTAAAAACATAAAATAAGAATATGATCTTTTCAATGTTGGTGCATACTTACAATACCAGAACAGAATAAATAACACAAAATATTACTTTGCTATTTGCAAAATAATTGTTCTCATGCAGTAATTTGATGCAGGAAATAGTTTAACATTCTCTAGTTAATGATAAAAGAAGACACATAGGCTGTTACGTCGCCATTTGTGATAATGACGTCCATATAAAATGCAGCGTACATTTTCATGGGATACATCACATTATGATAATATTATTATTTCTCACTTTTGTCGGAGAAAGTAAATAGTAAACTTCAGAATTATGTATTTTGTTTTTCTTTCAACATTATTTTTTGTTACTTTTATGTTTGCATTTTGTTACTATAGGAGACATAAAGAATTGAATGAAATCTATTTGCTTATAAATATAAAATTAAGAATTCATGTCATGTATTTTAGAAACCTTTTATTTTGCCTTATGTATTATGGCTTGTAATATGCATGCAAAGTTCATATTTCAGAGTTTTGTTACTCATAAATCTTGTTTAGTATTTTTGATAGCTTTATTTGTACGATCTGAATATCTTAAATTAGTTTGACTCAGTAATTCAGAATAACGCACATGAACAAAAGCATTAATGGTGTTTTGTTTTATATACAGATTTTATTCAGGAGCCTCTAATTCCAAGGAGTGAGTTAGCAGAAATAAAGCCCATACAGTTTATTGAAGGTCTTTTATACACAGTCCCACCAGACATTCTGTGCATGTTTATTAAGTATATAATAACTCATATGTCTACATTTAAACTTTTATTCTAGCTACAACCATGTCTCTAAATTTGAAACGCTATGATTGGTCAATTTTAATATGTTCCAAAAACTGACTAATGAAACTTTTGATAATTTGCCAAAGTTAAATTTAGCAGTAAAAGAAAATAAGAAAGTAGACCCGGAAATAATTTCAGTATCATCATTTAGGAAAAACATTTTTATTAATATATACTCAATTTAGTGTTTACAGTCAATAATAATACATGTATATCTATATACATTGTATAAAGCAAATACATAATTTAAGATATTCTCAGTTTCATTGATAATAATTCTAAAGAATCTGTAAATTTATCAATACACATGGGCCAATTTATGGTAAAAAATGTATTCAACATATAAATGACAGCTCTGATTATGTGATACACAAAAGGTTGTCAGTTTTAATTAAAATTATTTTTCATTTCAAAATAAAAATCTACATTTTATTGGTTTACAGAGTAAGAATTTATTCTTTATTTATAGACATATGAGTAGTTAATATATACTTGTTGCTGTATTTATGTTGTTACAAAATGAAAACTGAAAAATTGTTTCACTGTTTTAGAATGTTGTCGATGATTGCATGGTTTCCCAATAAAGATATTTGCTTGTTTGAGTGATATATAGAAAATATCTCACTGAGGAGAGAATGCATGTACACATGTATATGATTGTTAAAAAGTTGTATTGAGATTGCATTTTCCTTGTTTGTGTTGTAGAATCTGTTGTTTTACTTCCTGATTCAAACTTTTATCAGCGGTAGTAAGCAATAAAAGTAGTTTTGACATGGAGAATTGTTATATTTCACAGGTTTTAATAATTTAAAGATTTTAGTCTGAATAGAAAGAGAATAGAAACTTTCAATTATGATTTACAACTGAATATTTTAGGGGATTAGGAGCTGTGGGGGGCCGATTAAAAAAATGTTGAGTCAGCACTATCGATTTTTAGTAAAAATGAGGCAAGTGTTATTAGAAGGATTTTTGTAGTTGTTGTTTTTTTTTTTAAAAAAATATGTGATTATTTCTTGAATTGGAAACTGATGAAAATGTAGTAATTTAATTATTGGAAACTGATAAAAAAAAATGTAGTAATTTAATTATGATAATGGAATTAAAGATTTATGAAATAAGTTTTTTATCAGTTTTCATTTGAAAGGGGAAGTAACTTTAGGAAAAGTGAAATTACATATTTTGTAGTACAGTGATAAATGAGGTTGCTTAAGTGTTTTACAGGACAGCATAATTATATGAAATAGTTATTTAGATCATAATGTACACCACAGACTTTCAGGATCTATATACCATAAAATTCCTATAAGCCCCCAGGCTTTTTGATATGGAAAAAATCTACTCTTCAAGTAAATCCATAATTTTATTCAAATCCTTCAGAATCCATTTTATTTTATAGTAAACACAAAAATGTATATTATGAACTTTAAAACCTTAACCCTTTTAAGTTTTTAAAGTTATTACCCACACTTGCTAACTCTAAATGTATGAGTTTAAGAATTTTGTTGGATTTAGGAAAAAATGTGTTGTAATAATAGCTCCCCCCCCCCCCTCCCTTTGGAAAATGTTTAGCCCCCTTGGTCGTGCGTTTAATAGGAATTTTAAGGTATATTCATAGAATATTGTTTATAATGAAATGTATGTTCTCTATTTCTTTCACATTTACAGTGGACGAGGATCTGTCTATTAGTTAGTATATCTGGCTGAAATACGTGGCTTGCAAAATATTTTTTTTTCTTGTCCGCTTTTTTTTTCTGTTTTAATTTTTATTCTTGCTTTTTTTTCTTGTTGCAAATATCCCTGTGTGGCAGATTTATTTTTGTTTCATGTAGATTTGGATTTTTCTCATCATTTATGATTTTTCTACACATCATGTCATCATTTCTCTTCATTTTCTTGTGGTGTAAATTTAATAGCGTTAAAAGGCAAAAAATATCTTAACACTTGATGTTTAAACTAATTATTTTGCAAGTCGTGTAAATTGGTATTTATGCATATTACAATAAACAGAAAATAACAACAAGGAACACGGAAAATATTACAAATTTACAAATATTAGCGTAAATTTTAATAATGCTTCATGTAGAAACAAGAGTATATAAATAGCTACAGAAGCACTTAATAACCCAGGGCTTATCTGAGCATCAATTACTAACTGCGATGCTACCTATAATTCATTCTCTTTAACAAAATATTTAAAATAACAAAATAACTTCTGTATTGTTTATATATATTGTCCATATTATAATATTCAATATACATTCAAAACAAATATTAAAGGCAAAGCAATATAACAATGTCTTAACAGAACAAAACTAAATTGATTTTAATTTAAGATTACGGAAATATTTTTGGTGAAGCATACAGAGATAGTTGCCTACATGTATTTATACTTCTGTCACATTTGCCTACCAATTTTGGTCTGTTATCTTATATATTTATATTGTATGTTTTTACCTATTAGTAACTTTTTGGTGAAATTTTAGGTCAGTAAGGTCAATGTCAAGGTTACCAAGACTAAAAATAGATTTTCCCACTTTCCTTCATAGTTATGCATATGTTTAAACTTTGACATAGAGACAGTGATGTCCATCTATTGGTGTAGTCAATGTTCTAAATTGACTAGAATAACTGTCATTATCTCAGTACCGTTGACTTTAGCATTGAATCTTAGAAAAAGTCTGTGACAGAATACCGGAACACATTTCAAGGTTAGAAATGATTGTCTAATTTTCAGGTATTATTTGAATATAAAAGTTGCTTTAGCTTTGAAAGACAAAGATGTTTTCCCAATCTAGATTTTAAGTTTCTTATGAATTCTCTCTTGAATGATTCTGTTTTATATTGTATGTTGAGATAAATAGATGTCACAAATAGATGTTATAAATAGATGACACAAAATAGATGTCATATATAGATGTCATAAAATAGATGTCACAGAATTGTTCAGCTTTCACATCTTGTATTTGCTCAAAGATATTTTCTCATTTTCTTCTATTTAAATCAAACTTTATTCATTCTGTTGAAACTGCTGCTTCAACTTAATGAAATAAAATATTTACTTCAATTTACAAAGATTTATACCGATTTAAACAGACTTACATAAATTTACATAGATTTGCACTGATTTAAACAGACTTACATAAATTTACATAGATTTACACAGATTTTATATATGTACAGAGTAGCATTGTATTATTATAAAAATGTTATAATAGATTTTTACCCATGTAAATTTGGAACAGAACCTTTTATAAATAAAAGTTACTAATTGCATTACAGGTACTACCTAGTATTTACATTATTTACTAACTTATTACATGTATCTTTTTACAACATTATTTGAGGTAGTGTGGGTATACATGTATATTACTAAGGAAGCTTTTCCATTGATAAAAAAGGAACAATTTTAATGTAACAAAATATTTTAAAAATGAATTAAAGAGGAAAAATTAACAATTTTACAAAACATCTTGTTTGTCAAACTTATTACACATTTTTTATTGAGATAAGATTAGTTTACATACTGCTTAGTACAGAAGTAAAGATTTAAAAATTTGAAAACTGATTCGCAGCCCTTATTTAGAAATTTTGCTGTAAAATATTAAAAATTATATTGAAATTTTTTCTGCTATATTTGAACAATGAACTTTCATGCTTTAAATTTGGAACAATCCATTGTTTATTGTAGGCGTTTCAATATTAAAATACCAAATTTTAAAATTTTTATTGAAATTTTTTTCTGCTATATTTGAACAATGAACTTTCCTTGTTTTAAATTTGGAACAATCCATTGTTAATTGCAGGCGTTTCAATATTAAAATACTCAATTGAAAAGCCAGCTGTATATCAATATAAACTGTCATAAGACTCAGTACAAAGTAAGCTAGCATGGCCATTTTAATCATATAATTCAAGTTTAACTTTATAATTATGGGGAAATCTCGAAGGGTTTGGAATGAGATATTTTTCATATTTTCACTAATCAGTTGATGATGAAGATCAGCCTGATATCCACGATCTTATAAAGAAGAAGAAGCGAGTGTACGAGGCACCGAAGGCCCAGAATTACTACCATCTCGAGTATTACCTTGTGCCGGATAATGATGATGTTATGAAAACTGATGTTGTCACGTACGGTATGGGAGCGAAAATTTACATGGAAAAACAAGATGCTATTGTGAAGAAAGTATGGCATGATGGAGATGTCACATGGATAGCATGGACTCAAAAGTATGGCACAGATGTTTGTATTTTATAAATCCGCTTACAAACCCTATAACAATTAGTGAAACTGATAGCTAACAGCATGGATCCTGATCAGACTGCGCGGATGAGCAGGCTGGTCTGGATCCATGCTGGTCGCAAACCCATTATGTTGGTTTTGTCATGGCGCAGCTCAATTATTATTTTCAGCTTTACCTTTACCATTCGGACATCTTACTTGTTTTTCTCCGTTTTGAGTTTTGAATTATCCATTGTTAGTAACTTGTACATTTATTGCAATATTGCACATTTGTAATGTGGATTTTCATTGGATAATCATGAAGTTTATATAGTTTTACATACACGGCTGTTGAAAATTTATGAAGAGTTCTCACTTTTTTCCCTAAAAAAGGAAATTTGCTTTATCATTGATTAAAATCAGCTCTTAAATGATGCTCTAAAAGTCTTTACGTTGGTCAAACAAAATAATTTTGTAAGCTTCATCCAGCTGAATTTGTGAAAATGGATTTTGCCCTGCTTTGAATTTGGAACAGTCCATTCAAAGTTTAAGGGATTTCATTTTAAAAATATAAAAATTGAGCTACCAAACAGTACAGGACTATAAGGATGTGCAGGCTGGCCGGGCTCTATACAGGTGGCAAAGGCTATAAGAATCTAGTACAGACCGGAATATCTTGCTCGAGGGTAACTGTTTACAGCTGTAACAAGGGTCTGCCGAGTTTCCGCTAATCAGTTACTCAAGAGCAAGACATTCCTGCCTGTGTGTTTAAAGCACATTACTTGTTTTACACAGGGGGTGTACGACAGGTTTTTCTAGCACATGTGTAAACAGTAGATAATCCTGTCTGATATTTAAGGTTAATTACAAAAAATGTGCTTTCGATTTCAGCATGTTTATTATCTTCATGTCATTTTTTTCTCATTTTTCAGGCACAAGCTATTTGTTACCAAGGACGTATTATTAAAGTTGTATAACCACACCCTGGAGCTAAGAGTTGGGGATACCAAGGAAAGTAGCATGAGTCGCTAAGTTTGACCCGATCCTAAACTTTTAATAAAACTCCCCGAGTTTAAAATCATAAATGAAATCTCATATATATCTGCTTAACTGCTTATTACTCAATACTTATGAAACTCAATCATACTCATACTACAGTAATTGCATATATCACATTAAGCTTAAACAAACTACTCTCATACTCATATACATACCGTTATAATCTTCCATTATGTAAAAATAGAAAGCGACTGCCAAATTGACCAAAGAAAAACAGCTCTAAGACTGAATATTCTTTATGATGATTTCTTAATTTATAAAGTAAAAACCATGAACATTTTTACGAAAAGTTTATTTTTAATTTTTACATTACAAAGGCAACGCGAGCTGAATAGTAGAGACATGAGGAGGGGATAAAGGAATGGTGATGACACAGTGTAGAAGTTTTACCGACATGCAGCCAAAAAGGCACGTGACATTAGACCATTGCCAAAAGAGATAACATTCCAAAAACCGGACCCACCAGGACACAAGAAAAGAGGTTAAATAAATGTTTTTATGCCACCGCAGTATCTGCGATGGCATATAGCGATTCACCTGTGTGTGTGTGTGTGTGTGTGTGTGTGTGCGTGTGTTATATAAATTATATAGTGAACTTAAAAAATCTTCTTGTGAAAAAACTACTAGTCTAATTTCAACCAAACGTGGCAGGATTGTTCCTTGGGTGATGGGGCTTTCAAATTTTTTCAAAGAATTTAATTCCATTGCAGAAATCTGGTTGCCATAGCAACCACCAAGAATGATAAGAGTAATTTAAAAATCTTCTTGTAAAGACCCACACGGCCCAGACCTAAGATATTTTGAATAAGCACTGTCTGGAAGACCTCTACCAAGATTGTTCAAATTATAGCCTGGGGTCAAAATTGGCCTCACCTCGTCGTGCTAATTGATATTTTCACTATAGTAAAAACTTAAAAAAAATCTCTTGTCTAAAGGTACAAGCGGCTTAGAGCTTGATTTTTAAAGTAGTATATGTTATTATCTATAGGTCCTTTACCAAAGTTGTTCAAATTTCATCTCTTGTGTCAAAATTGGCCCCGCTCGAGAGGTCCATAATTTCTAACTCCACCTATATGTATATACTAGTAAATCACTTCAAACAAATCTCTATCTTGAACCCATTGACAAAGGCTAGGGTAAGATAACCTTTGGCATGAAACATTGCGTACCAAGCCTAGAACTCTACAAACGCATGTCCACCCTTGAATTAAACCAGACCCTTGCCGGTCAAAAGAATTGCCCCGCCACATAGGACCCGTCATTGATTTTCATTATGTACATCTAGTAAAATAGTCTTTTTGTGTCATGTGAAAGGAAACAACATACATTGGAACATTTTTATGTAAAATATTCAGTAGCTGGGAGTGTACAATGTACAGCTGTTATACACTTAATACCTATTTTTGTCAATAAAGAATTCTTTTATGTTTGAATCAACTATAGCACTATGGCATTTGTATCTTAATATTAGACACATCTGCACATGTGTCTAATGATTTGACATGCTGAAATATAAATCTACTTCTGTAATATTAATGCAGTGGCATAGCATTTTTTCACATATGCATTCTTGTTGTTTTTAGCTCAACTATTCGATAAGAATAAGTAGAGCTATTGTAGTCACCCGAGCGTCGGCGTCTGCGTCGGCGTAACCACTTATGTTAAAGTTTTTGTAATAGTTTAAAATATTTTCAAAGTCCATTGACATATGGCTTTGAAACTTTGCACACTTGTTCATCATCATGACCCCGACCTGTAGACAGGAGGAGGTTAACTCTATCAAGCATTTTTGACAGAATTATGCCCCTTTTCGACTTAGAATTTACGTTTAATAGTTTTTGTAATACCTCAAATATTTTCAAAGTCCATTGACATATGGCTTTGAAAACTTTGCACACTTATTCAACATCATGACCCCAACATGTACACAGGAGGAGGTTACTCTATCAAGCATTTTGACAGAAGTATGCCCCTTTTTCGACTTAGAATTTACGTTTAAGTTTTTGTAATACCTCAAATATTTTCAAAGTCCATTGACATATGGCTTTGAAACTTTGCACACTTATTCAACATCATGACCCCAACATGTACACAGGAGGAGGTTACTCTATCAAGCATTTTGACAGAAGTATGCCCCTTTTTCGACTTAGAATTTACGTTAAAGTTTTTGTAATACCTCAAATATTTTCAAAATTCATTGACATAAGGCTTTGAAACATGTTGAAGTTTTATACTCTTTTTGAGAGCATAATAGGACTCTCTCCAAGGCCAATAACTGTAATATGGATTTTATGAAAAATTTTGCCTTTTTCTTTAATTAGAACATCATTCTACACTTATACAATTAAGGCTTCTTTTACTATAACACATAGATAAGAACACATCGAGCAGATGCTGTCAATAACCGATCAGGCTCTTGTTTGATGTACAGACTTGAAAAATGGACCATAGATGTGATTTCTGAGTCCAAATTGAATTTTGATATTAAATGGCCTACTTTTGATATTATCATTTGACCTACTTTCTTGATTTTTTTTGGTGTAATTTCTGATGTTAAATTGAATTTTGATATTTTCTGACCTACTTTTGATATTTTTGTTATCATTTGAGGTTCTTGTTGTTTGACATACAGATTTGAAATTTGGACCAGGATTGTAATTTTTATGCTGATATTAATTTTGATGTCAGCTGACATACCATATTGTCTCTGTTTAACGCCCCTGGGCGTTGATTTTTTCAAAAGGGGGAAAACTAATTGGAACTGTTAAAATGTGCTTTAAAAAATGTTTATCAAAGATATAACTCAATTATAAAAATCATTATTCATTATTATGATCTAATATAAAACACAGGATAATATTTTTCAATGATTTTACATCATGGAGAGTCATTAATTGTTATTTTAAATAAAAATAATTGGATTTTTTTACTGTTCTTTTATTATTGATTATAAATCTATTAGGTAAGAGTTTTTCCTACAAAATGTGGTGGGGGCATTAATTTGAAACAATATGGTACTTTTGATATTTTTGATATCGCTTAACCTACAATGAAATTATGGGTCAGGTGAGCGATCCCTGTGGTTAAGTTTTTGCGTTTAAGCTGGTTTCTCCATACCTACTGAAGGGAATGGATTGAAACTTCACACACTTGTTCTCTGTGATTATCTAAGATGATTGGCTTAAGTCCCATAACTCTGTTTGCTTTTTTACATAATTATGCACCTTTTTCGACTTAGAAATTCTTGGTTAAGTTTTTGTGTGTAATCTGGTATCTCCATAACTACTGAAGGGAATGGATTGAAACTTCACACACTTGTTTTCTGTGATTATCTAAGATGATTGGCACAAATCCTATAACTCTGATTTGCTTTTTTACATAATTATGCCCCTTTTTCGACTTAGAAATTCTAGGTTAAGTTTCTGCTTGTAATAACTATTGAAGGGTTTGTGCCTTTTTTGGAACAATTTTATGCATTCATGATAATAAAGCAGTGATTAACTCGATAAAACATCTTAATAACAAGCCTTTGTACCTTTTTTGACAATTTTATGTATTCATATAGGTAAGCATTAATATATACTCAATGAAACACCCTTGTGACAACTTTTAGAATAGTTGAGCGTTACTGTCCTCCGACAGTTCTTGTTCATACTTCCTCTGGATTGTGTTATGGGTCAGTTTGATCAAGGTCACTAAAATAAGTGTTTACACTTTTGCCATACATCCTGTATTTATGGACAAATGTTTTCCATATTTGGTAGGAATATATCTTGTATAGACTTCTGCCTTTGGATTGAGTTAGGGGTCAGTGGGTCAAGATCAAGGATGCCAAAAATAGATTTCTACATATTTGCTTATACAGCCTTTATTTATAGACTGATGTTTTTCATATTTGGATGGAACATACCTTGGATGGTCCAGTGTTGGGAGTCACAAGGTCAAGGTCACTTGTGCTAGCAATAGATTTTTTTACAATTTTGGTATACAGCCTTTGTATTTTTCACCAATGTCTTAAAAGAGCATACCTATGGTGGTCCTTAAAGTTTGTATGGAGTTTTCAAGGCCAAGGTTTTGCATTTACATGTATTCATAAATATATTTGATAAAGTTTTATTGGTAAGTTGAATATTTTTCAACTTCATCATAAGTCATAGGAATGACTTGCCAACTTATATTTTTCCAATAACAAAAGGTCATAACTCTGTGAAGTGATATAACTGTGTTTAGATTTTTTAGGCAATTTTTCTTTTCATAACTGAGTGAATGGGTAAACCTTTTTTGAAAAATAACATTTGTTTTTTGGTGTACTGGGCCTTTGAGTTTTATTTACTTTAAAAGGAGGAAAGCACATAAAATTACGCAACTTTTGAAGTCATAGAAATGAAACAATTCCAATATAGATGAAAAATATGTTTAAATTCTACATTTATTTCACTCATAAACACCATCTAAGTCACACAACATACAGTTTTAAGAATATATAAATTTTGATATAAATCATGATGCAAGAATACAAGTATATGATAAATCAAATAAATTTCTACAACACAATTCATGTATATTCACAATGAATTAAACTTAAGCAGTGTCATGACATATTGAACATGTATATACAAACGTCATGTACTTGTCACAATCAAGTTATTTAAGTGACTATGTTTTTCTTTTACATTTTCTGTTTAAATATTGAATTTTATATATGAACCAGGATATTCTTTAAATAATATTTTTATTGATAGTGGTTCATATATTTACTTAAAAGATTAGATATCATACACTTCAATGTTATCATCTCCATATCTGCTTATACACATCTTAGTCATTTGTTGATTACAACCGACTGATCTAATATTCGCTTTTCTACTATCAGCTTTTATAACCTCTCCTATCAGCTCACCATCACATGTAAACTGTAAAACATTATTGGATCCATATCCAGATACAAGCACACTAGCTGCTTCTGTGAGATAACAACATGTAGCCCTCTTTAATTGTTCATCATTAAATGATGTAATAACCTGACCATTGTTGTCCAGTACTATCAGTCCATTATCATAGTCAGCAACATAAATCCTTGTAGCATCCTGACTGACAGCTAGACTGTATATGTCAGAGAACAGCTTGTGTCCTGATTGATCTTTACTGATCTGATTAAGCTTCCTACCAGACAATGTATACATATATACTGATGTGTCACCATCTGAAATATATAAATTATTGTTTGCATATGCAAGACCAAAACATTTAAAATCAGTTTTAATCTTGTTTGATGTTTTCATTTTACCACTAAGAGAAATGAAATTAACTTCATTCTGATATGGAACAGTTACTGCAACTTGTGTGTTATTGATCATACACACTTGCCATGGTTTTCCAGGTAGATCACAGTAGTCTGTGACAGTATAGTTATAACTGTGTAAACGTTTAAGTTTGATGTTGATGTTATCAGCAAGAATTATTGTACCATCTTCCATACAGCAGGCACTGGTAATATGACAATTATTTTTATCAGACTTAACTTTTACATTATATAATTGATGTCCTTTAATCTGAAATAAATTAATAGAAGCCTTTGTAGGTTTTTCTGATAGTATGCCTAGGGCCTTCATTTGTTCTAGCTGTGTAAGAATTGTTCTATCAGGTTGAAAATCTATGTCTTCTACTGTATTTTTAATTTTTGCATCTTCAATATACATGTTGGCGACATGTGTAGCATCCTCTGCCATCTTAACATGAACAAACACTTCAGCTTTATTTGTGTTTGTAGATGTTAACTTATCATTAGCTGATGTAATCCTGGACTTGTTTGCTTGTAGTTGTTTGAAACCTGCTTCAATCTTGTCTTCAAGACATTTGACTTTATCTTCTATCTCATCTATAGAAGTTTTCTCCAGTTTGTCAAGATGATCATTGATTTCTTGTCGGAATTTTCTTATATTAACCAGTATTTCTGCTTTCCTCTTCAGCAGCCTTTGTTTATCCTGTTTAAATCTATCAGCTTGTTTAGCAAGGGTCTTGGCTATTTCCTTGAGTCTTGTTTGAATTTCTCTGGATGCAACTTGGCAAGAACTGTTTTGGATAAATTCTGGTATGTAGAATGTGTCCTTGCATAATCTGAAAAATAAGTTAGGACAGTTTGTGAATATAAGGCTATGAAATGACTGAGGAGGTAATATTAAATTTTTTTAATCTCTTCTACATATCAGTATTTATGATAGAATATTATGTTAAGACTTGTTAGTACCTATTAAACATTTCATATATTTAAATGACATTATGCCCATCCAATAGTATATAAATATCCATCAGAATTTCCTGTAACATTCATAATTGATAAAGAAAGTGTGGCAGTCTTTTTTATATTTCTGATAGATTTATATTTTATCCTGAACAATTTCTAGTATCACTTTTGCATCAATCACCATTATTAAAGTCTATCATGTGAAATAAATAATTCAGTTCAACTTAACAATAAAAAATGAGCATAAAAGTCACGTTTATTGAAAATATAATCTATGTTTATACACTGTACATTAACTAAATTTTACCTATGATCAACTGCCATACATGTAGAACAGCCAACATTATCATGGTTCTGACAGTACATATCAATGTGTTTATGACTGTGTCTGTCACATCTCTCAGCTGGTGCCCTCGGTAGACCTTTTCCGGTTCCTGACTTGACCTGTGATTTATCCAGCACCTTGTGACCAGCACACAGGGGCACTTGACCATGTACTTGAACACAAGTTATACAGAAATAATCCTTACAGTCTACACAGTATTTTTCACCTTCAGTATTTTTCCCTTTATTTTTACACATTGAACATAACACATCAAATATTTCATCGGAAAGAATATCCGTATCTATTTGTTTACCAGTAGCCATTTTGTAGATATTTTATTCAATGTGTTATCTGAACTGATCTATTCACCAATAAAGCTGCCCCAATTTCGTTTCAGAGTCATTTTAAACATTATAATAAAGCAACACTTTAAATCACAGTTCTCAAGTTTTACTTCTGTAATGATATAAAACTTATTCCTTTTTATGTATAATTATCATCTCCGATATTTGCTAAGTTATTTGTAAAGGTTCACCCTACAAAGATTGTATCTTTATCTGAAAACATTGAGTTAAAGTCTACATCTAACTTCCGAATGATCAATGTTCTTTAAATACACAGGTTTAAGAATTTACATCAGCTTGGTTTAACATATGATCAACCTTGTTTGAATACACAGTTTTAAGTATTTGCATCAGCTTGGTTTAACATTATGCTTTTTATAAAGCAATCAACACCTGGAAGTAAATAACCTAAATAACTTTAAGAATAAATGAGCCGCGTCATGACAAAACCAATATAATGGGTTTGCGACCAGCATGCTGTTCGCTTTTAAACCTTTTAACAAGTAGAGAAACTGATAACGAACAGCATGGATCCTGATCAGACTGCGCGGATGCGCAGGCTGGTCTGGATCCATGCTGGTCGCAAACCCATTATGTTGGTTTTGTTGTGACACGGCTCAAATGTCTTTCCATGAAAAAATCATTTAACAAGAATGAAAACTGATAATGATCAGCTCGACCACAGGTTTAAAAAAAAAATACTTTTATATTTTCAGTGGTTATAATTAAAGAAATGTAGCAGTAATATTTTGATTTCTTATAATGCTCTATTCATGTCTGGTTTGTGATGAAAGTACAATTGACATATTTATATAAAAATTCTTTATCTGTGTTTTCATTCAGATGATGAAGACAAGCTCACAAAATATGCCAATTTTGTAAACTCTTTGCAATTCTTAAAAAGATGGCATAGGAGGATAGTAACAATGTTATTATTGACAGACTTACAAATTTTAATGCAAACAGCATATTATTATTAAAAAGAAAATTGGTGACAACTGAAAAGGAACGCTTTAATTAAGAAGTAAGCAGGGGATGTTCAGTTCTAAGAAGAAGTAAAAAAAATGTGAAAAAAAGTTCATTAATATCACCAATAATTTATTCCAACTTTGTTTTTATGCCACCGCAGCATAGTTATGTAATGCGTAGACATATAGTGATTCACCTGCTGTGTGTGTGTTTGTATGTTTGCCTGTTATATAGATGATATACTGTAGTGAACTTAAAAAAAACCTTCTTGTGAGATCCAAATTGGCCCACCTCTTTTGAAAAATAACATTTTTTTTTGGTGTACTGGGCCTTTGAGTTTTATTTACTTTAAAAGGAGGAAAGCACATAAAATTACGCAACTTTTGAAGTCATAGAAATGAAACAATTCCAATATAGATGAAAAATATGTTTAAATTCTACATTTATTTCACTCATAAACACCATCTAAGTCACACAACATACAGTTTTAAAAATATATAAATTTTGATATAAATTATAATGCAAGAATACAATGTATATGATAAATCAAATAAATTTCTACAACACAATTCATGTATATTCACAATGAATTAAACTTAAGTAGTATCATGACATATTGAACATGTATATACAAAAGTCATGTACTTGTCACAATCAAGTTATTTAAGTGACTGTGTTTTTCTTTTACATTTTCTGTTTAAATATTGAATTTTACATATGAACCAGGATATTCTTTAAATAATATTTTTATTGATAGTGGTTCATATATTTACTTAAAAGATTAGATATCATACACTTCAATGTTGTCATCCATCCATCTGCTTATACACATCTTAGTCATTTGTTGATTACAACAGACTGATCTAATATTCCGCTTTTCTACTATCAGCTTTTATAACCTCTCCTATCAGCTCACCATCACATGTAAACTGTAAAACATTATTGGAGCCATCTCCAGATACCAGCACACTACCTGCTTCAGTGAGATAACAACATGTAGCCCTCTTTAATTGTTCATCATTAAATGATGTAATAACCTGACCATTGTTGTCCAGTACTATCAGTCCATTACGGCAGTCAGCAACATAAATCCTTGTAGCATCCTTACTGACAGCTATACTGCGTATGTCAGAGAACAGCTTATGTCCTGATTGATCCTTACTGAACTGATTAAGCTTCCTACCAGACAATGTATACATATATACTGATGTGTCAGAGTCTGAAATATATAAATTATTGTTTGCATATGCAAGACCATAACATTCAAAATCAGTTTTAATCTTGTTTGATGTTTTCATTTTACCACTAAGAGAAATGAAATGAACTGACTTTTGTGATGGAACAGTTACTGCAACTTGTGTGTTATTGATCATACACACTTGCCATGGTCCTCCAGGTAGATCATAGTAGTCAGTGACAGTATAGTTATAACTGTGTAACCGTTTAAGTTTGTTGTTGTTGTAATCAGCAAGAATTATTGTACCATCTTCCATACAGCAGGCACTGGTGATATGACAATTATTTTTATCAGACTTAACTTTTACATTATATAATTGATGTCCTTTAATCTGAAATAAATTAACAGAAGCCTTTGTAGGTTTTTCTGATAGTGTGCCTAGGGCCTTCATTTGTTCTAGCTGTGTAAGAATTGTTCTATCAGGTTGAAAATCTATGTCTTCTACTGTATTTTTAATTTTTGCATCTTCAATATATATGTTGGCAACATTTGCAGCATCCTCTGCCATCTTAACATGAACAAACACTTCAGCTTTATTTGTGTTTGTAGATGCTAATTTATCATTAGCTGATGTAATCCTGGACTTATTTGCTTGTAGCTGTTTGAGACCATCTTCTATCTTGTCTTCAAGACTTTTGACTTTATCTTCTATCTCATCTATAGAAGTTTTCTCCAGTTTGTCAAGATGATCATTGATTTCTTGTCGGAATTTTCTGATATCAGCCAGTATTTCTGCTTTCCTCTTCAGCAGCCTTTGTTTATCCTGTTTAAATCTATCAGCTTGTTTAGCAAGGGTCTTGGCTATTTCCTTGAGTCTTGTTTGAATTTCTCTGGATGCAACTTGGCAAGTATTGTTTTGGATAAATTCTGGTATGTAGAATGTGTCCTTGCATAATCTGAAAAATAAGTTAAGACAGTTTGTGAATATAAGGCTATGAAATGACTGAGGAGGTAATATTAAATATTTTTATTCTCTTCTACATATCAGTATTTACGATAGAATATAATGTTAAGACTTGTAAGTACCTATTAAACATTTCATATATTTAAGTGACATTATGCCCATCCAAGAGTATATAAATATCCATCAGAATTTCCTGTAACATTCAGTTTATAAAGAAAGTGGGGCAGTCTTTTTTATATTTCTGATACATTTATGTTTTATCCTGAACAATTTCTAATATCATTTTTGTGTCAATCACCATTATAACAGTATATCATGTGAAATGAATAATTCAGCTCAACTTAACAATGAAAAAAATGAGCATAATGTCACTTTTATTTAAATTATTATCTATGTTTATATATTAAATTTTACCTGTGATCAACTGCCATGCATGTAGAACAGCCAACATTATCATGGTTCTGACAGTACATATCAATGTGTTTATGACTGTGTCTGTCACATCTCTCTGTTGGTGCCCTCGGCAGACCTTTGCTGGTTCCTGACTTAACTTGAGATTTATCCAGCACCTTGTGACCAGCACACAGAGGCACTTGACCATGTACTTGAACACAAGTTATACAGAAATAATCCTTACAGTCTACACAGTATTTTTCACCTTCAGTGTTTTTCCCTTTATTTTTACACATTGAACATAATACATCAAATATTTCATCGGAAAGAATATCCGTATCTATTTGTTTACCAGTAGCCATTTTGTAGATATTTTATTCAATGTGTAATCTGAACTGATCTATTCACCAATAAAGCTGTCCCAATTTCATTTCACAGTCATTTTAAACATTATAATTTCCAGCAACACTTTAAATCCCAGTTCTCAAGTTTTACTTCTGTAATGATATTTAACTTTTTCCTTTCAATCTCCAATATTTGCTAAGTTATTTGCAAAGGTTCACCCTACTGTCTACTCTTACTCCTTGTTTAAATACACAGGTTTAAGTATTCACATCAGCTTGGTTTAACATATGATCAACCTTGTTTAAATACACAACTCAGCTTGGTTTAACATTATGCTTTTTATAAAGCTATAAACACCCGGAAGTAAATAACCTAAACAATTTTAAGAATAAATGTCTTTCCATGAAAAAATCATTCAACAAGAAATGAAAACTGATAACGATCAGCTCAACCACAGGTTTAAAAAAAAACTTTTATAGTTTCAGTGGTTATAATTAAAGAAATGTAGCAGTAATATTTTGATTTCTTATAATGCTCTATTCATGTCTGGTTTGTGATGAAAGTAAAATTGACATATTTATATAAAAATTCTTTATTCAGATGATGAAGACAAGCTCACAAAATATGCCAATTTTGCAAACTCTTTACAATTTTTAAAAAGATGGCATAGGAGGATAGTAACAATTTTATTATTAGCTCACCTGTCACAAAGTGACAGGGTGAGCTTTTGTGATCGCTTTTCGTCCGGCGTCTGTCCGTCGTCCGTCCGTCCGTAAACTTTTACTTTAAATGACATCTCCTCATAAACCACTAAGCCAATTTCATCCAAACTTCACAAGAATGTTCCGTTGTCGGTCACCTTTAAAAATTGTTCAAAGAATTTAATTCCATGCAGAACTCTGGTTGCCATGGCAACCGAAAGAAAAAACTTTAAATATCTTCTTTTAAAAAACCGTAAGAGCTAGAGCTTAGATATTTGGCATGAAACATCTTCTAGTGAGTGTCTACCAAGTTTGTTCAAATAAAAGCCCTGGGGTCAAAATTGGCCCCGCCCCGGGGGTCATTGATTTTCCCTATATACATATAGTAAAAACTTAAAAATTCTTCTTTTAAAGAACCAAAAGAGCTACAGCTAAGATATTTAGCATGAAACATGTTCTAATGGGTGTCTACCAAGTTTGTTCAAATAAAAGCCCTGGGGTCAAAATTGGCCCCGCCCCGGGGGGTCATTGATTTTCCCTATATGCATATAGTAAAAACTTAAAAAATCTTCTTGTAAAGAACTCAAAGAGCTATGGCTAAGATATTTAGCAACAAACATCTTGTAATAAGTGTCTACCAAGTTTGTTCAAATAAAAGCCCTGGGGTCAAAATTGGCCCCGCCCCAGGGGGGTCATTGATTTTCCCTATATGCATATAGTAAAAACTTAAAAAATCTTCTTTTTAAGAACCAAAAGAGCTAGAGCTAAGATTTTTAGCATGAAACATGTTCTAATAAGTGTCTACCAAGTTTGTTCAAATAAAAGCCCTGGGGTCAAAATTGGCCCGCCCCGGGGGGTCATTGATTTTCCCTATATGCATATAGTAAAAACTTAAGAAATCTTCTTTTAAAGAACCAAAAGAGCTAGAGCTAACATATTTAGCATGAAACATGTTCTAATGGGTGTCTACCAAGTTTGTTCAAATAAAAGCCCTGGGGTCAAAATTGGCCCCGCCCCAGGGGGGTCATTGCTTTTCCCTATATGCATATAATAAAAACTAAAAAATCTTCTTTTAAAGAACTCAAAGAGCTATGGCTAAGATATTGAGCATCAAACATGTTCTAATAGGTGTCTACCAAGTTTGTTCAAATAAAAGCCCTGGGGTCAAAATTGGCCCCACCCCAGGGGGTCATTGATTTTCCCTATTTGCATATAGTAAAAACTAAAAAATCTTCTTTTAAAGAACTCAAAGAGCTATGGCTAAGATATTGAGCATCAAACATGTTCTAATAGGTGTCTACCAAGTTTGTTCAAATAAGAGCCCTGGGGTGAAAATTGGCCCCGCCCCAGGGGGGTCATTGATTTTCCCTATATGCATAATAGTAAAAACTAAAAAATATTCTTTTAAAGAACTCAAAGAGCTATGGCTAAGATATTTAGCATCAAACATGTTCTAATAGGTGTCTACCAAGTTTGTTCAAATAAAAGCCCTGGAGTCAAAATTGGCACCGCCCCGGGGGTCATTGATTTTCCTTATATGTGTATAGCAAAAACTTAAAAAATCTTCTTTGAAAAAACCCAAATAGCTAGAGTTAAGATATTAAGATTGAAACATCTTTTAGTGAGTGTCTACAAAGTTTGTTCAAATAAAAGACCTGGGGTCAAAATTGGCCCCGCCCCGGGGGTCATTGATTTTCTTTATATGTGTATAGCAAAAACTTAAAAATCTTCTTTGAAAAAACCCAAATAGCTAGAGTTTAGATATTAAGCATGAAACATCTTCTAGTAAGTGTCTACAAAGTTTGTTCAAATAAAAGCCCTGGGGTCAAAACTGGTCCGGCCCCAGGGGTGTCATTGTTTTTAACTATATGTGTATATAAGTAAAAACTTACAAAAAAATCTTCTTTCAAAAAGCAGAATGAGCTAGAGCATAGATGTTTAGCATGAAACATCTTCTTATGGGTGTCTACCGAGTTTGTGCAAATAAAAGCCCTTGGGTTAAATTGGCCCTGCAACGTTGGGGGGGCCGGGGGTTTGGGGCCTATATACAGGTGAGCGACCTCAGGGCCATCATGGCCCTCTTGTTGACAGACTAACAGATTTTAAAGTAAGCAGCATATTATTATTAAAAAGAAAGTTGGTGACAACTGAAAAGGAACGCTTTAATTAAGAAGTAGGCAGGGGATATTCAGTCCTGACGAAGAAAAATAATGTGAAAAAAGTTCATTAATATCACCAATAATTTATTCCAACTTTGTTTTTATGCCACTGCAGCATATGTAATGCGGTGGCATATAGTGATTCACCTGCGTGTGTGTGTGTTTGTATGTTTTCCTGTTATATAGATGATATACTGTAGTGAACTTAAAAAAAAACCTTCTTGTGAAAAACTACTTGTCCAATTTCAACCAAACTTGGCAGGATTGTTCCTTGGGTGAATGGCTTTCAAAGTTGTTCAAAGAATTTGATTCCGTGAAGAAATCTGGTTGCTATGGCAACCAAAAGGAATTTTAAGAATTTTTTTAAAAATCTTTTTGTAAAGACCCACAATGTCTACAGCTTAGATATTTTGCATATGGCATAGTCTTGGTAACCTCTATAAAGATTTTTCAATTATAGCCCTGGGGTCAAAATTGGCCGACCCCTGGGGTTATTGATTTCACTATCTACATATGGTAAAAACTTTAGAAAATCTTCTTGTCTGAAAATACAAGCTTAGAGCTTTGATATTTGGTAATGACAGGTTATATGGTCCTATCATATAAATGGTTGTTTGGAAATATAACCTGAGCTGCAAGGCGAGGTTTATATTGCAAACAATCATATATATACCTTCATATAACCTGTCAGGAATATTTATAACTAATAATAATACAGCAAACTTCTTTTTTTTTTTAGAAAAAAGTGAGATTTCTTCATGAATTGATAGCAGCTGTGTATATAAAACTATATAATTGTCACGTTTATCCATTTAAAGCGACGTTACAAACGTGCAGTATTATAAAATATCATATATTGGTGCTTTACCAAATTGTTCAAATTTTTGGCCCCTTGTGTCAAAATTGGCCTTGCTCTGGGTGTCATATGTTTTCCTGATATGTATATAGTAAAATTTTTAGAAATCTCTAAGGCCCTGTCACACATGGCTGCGCGTCCACTGCGTTTGCACGGCATTGTTCAATTTAATGAAGCGCCGCGAGATCACATTAAAAATGGGGTAGTTCTGATGACATGGAAACTTCACGGCGTCTTCACAGCGTCCTCAGGGCGATAATGCTGATGCTACCGAGCTTCCACGGCTTTTAAAATTTCAATTGTCTGTGTTTGGACTGCGTTCTACTTCTACTTGTTTGTTTTGAGCATGCTCAAAATGCATGCCCTCGTTTGGCGTTCTATGCAATGCCACTATGATACTGTGGTGATATTTGCGATCTTACTGCGCACACCTCTGAATAACGCGTTCTGAATTTTTAGCTCACCTGAGCTAGCTCATGCTCAGCTTTTAGGATTGTTGAATGTCCGTTGTCTGTTATCCATCCACATTTGTTCGTTAACACTCTAGCGGTCACATTTTTGCCTCAAATAATCAACAAACTTTGTCATGATGCTTGTCTAGGTAATTGCTAGGATGATTTCGAACATGGGTCATCTCAGATGAAAAACTAGGTCACAGGAAAAAATAGAAAATCTCGTTAACACTCTAGTGGCGACTGATGTGATCCAAATATCCTTGAAATTGGTCTGATAGTTTGTTTTGATGATTTCTAGGTCAAGTTTGAATATGGGTTACCTAAACCAACGTAATGCGTTTGCGACCAGCATGGATCCAGACCAGCCTGGATCAGGATCTATGCTGTTCGCTATCAGTTTCTCTACTTGTAATGGGGTTGGTAAGCGAACAGCATGGATCCTGATCAGACTGCGCGGATGCGCAGGCTGGTCTGGATCCATGCTGGTCGCAAACCCATTATGTTGGTTTTGTCGTGACACGGCTCAAATTGTCTTTCATGTGTCATGCTGACCCACCAAAGTCACTAGTTCATTATGGCAAAGTTCGGTTGCATAGAAACAAAAATAATCTACCTCTGTATTATTAATGCGGTGATATAGCATTTTGTCACAACTGCAACTGCCCCAGATATAATGTGTAAAAATATAAAATTGGCAGTTTGCCAAAACTGTTCAAAGTTGAACCATTTTAGAAAATGGGGCTTTAAAGTTTTCTTTTTAGAAAATGGGGCTTTAAAGTTGGGGTTTTTTTTTAGAAAAAGGTAATAAACAAATTTAATTGGTCTGCTGTCAAACAGTAACTCATATGAATACATGTTAAAGGCCACACAATATTCTTACTAAAGAAGATGATTTTCTTTTTTTTATCAGTACTGATGTTGCAAGTTAAATTTCAAATTTTGTTTACAGACCCAACACCTGCTGTTGAGAAACCTGGGTCTCGAGCCAGTGGGGATAAACTAGCTGGGGGGCAGGGAGCATCATCCCCAACCCCTCATACTTTAGTGGGTGTGGTTAAAAGAGATGATGATTTTGATGGAAGGTGAGTACCCCCTATTTATATTAATGTTGTTCCATAAAATTAATATCTTGTGCTTAGAAAATGCATGTTTAAGTATATATTAAAAGTGGAACAACAAAATCTTATGAGAATATTTAGACATTTAGTCAACCAGTATGTTAAAAAGACCTGTTCTGAATGATTAAAAAAAAAAGGATTTGTGGAGAGTATGTATTTAATAATATATTATGGTCCCTATATTATTACATGTAGTTATAAAGTTTGCTGATGGGATATATAAGAGAATATAGTCAAAATGATTTCTTTGACCTTATTGGCAGCTTTTTAAGAGATATCTTTGCCCTGAGGGGGTTGCTTTTCAGATGATAAATCTTATATATTGAATTCTGCAGAAAATCCCTATCATACTCGGGCTCAAAATTTTGAAACTCCCTCCCTTTAAACATAAGAAATTCTTCCAACTAACAAACATTCAAAACTAATTTTCTAAAATGGTGGTTCTCTGGTGGGCATCAAAAAATCTAGCTATTGTTTTAATATCACATATATACATGTATGTCTCATAAAATGTACACTTTCATACTTTCAAAAGTTTATATTCATTTTCTTATTGCATTTTTCAATAACTCTACTTTTCTATGTTGTATAACTTGTATACATTAAGTTTTCTTTTTCTTTTTTTGTTTACATAAATCTTCTGTTTGTAACTGTATATATGTACATTTTGAAAGAGGCTCATAGGGAAGACTGGGCTTGCCTAACTATGTTGCCTCTTTAAATAAAGTCTTTATTATTATTATTATTATTATTATTATATAGATAAGATTAGATAAAGAATGTGTCTACCGATTAAGATTCAAGAAATTTATTTGCACCGTAATATATCGTATATAGGTCACCCTTCAATATAGTCTAAGATATATGAGAGAATATAGCCAGGACGTGATCAATGACCTAAGGCACTGCTTTTTGTGGATAAATCTTAAAATGTATATTGTCACCTTAGTGCAATAAGTGGTTAACTACAATTATATTTAGAAGGACTTTTTCCTATTATTGCTCTAAGGTGACGATATATATGGAAAAAAAAAGTTACGAAATTTATTTGCATTGTTTATAATGTTTTATATATAGGTCATCGTTCAGCAGACTAGGTCGTCTGGCCGACCATGATGACGCTCCACCTGAGAGACATGATTCTCGTGCCAGTAAAGTCAGCTCAAAGAAGTCACGCACAGTCTCCCAGGCCTCAAAGACCCGTACAGAACAGGCCAGCACCCCTAATAGTAAAGCAAGACAAGGTGCAAAATCTGCTGGTTCCTCTGGTAATGTTGTTCTCTATGTGGATTTTTGTTAGTTACACATGTACATACTCCTTTGAGAGCTAAATGAATAAACTAAACTTACTCTTGAATAGAGAATATTTTGTTTTTTCCAGCTAATTGGGGTGGGGGGGGGGGATACAAACAAACTTTACAGTTACAGCTTGGAAAATAATCGCTACAGGTTAACAAATTTATTTTGAACCATCATGCACTCTGAAGCTTTAATGGTAAAATTTGTTTGTATTAGGGAGATTAGCTTGGAAAAAGTCATATTTGTCAAGTTTCAGATAACAACTTCTTATTAAAAATCCGTGCTTAGGTAAGAATTCCTGATAACACCATTATGCAAGCCACTGAAAATATTCATATCGACGCATGTTTAAATGTATCCAAGATCTGTAACAGTAGCCTGAATCGATATTGAATTATTCCCCTTGTGGCAGTGTGGCTGAGTGGTTAACACAGCGGACTTGTAATCTTAGGATTGCTGACCACGTGGGTTCAAACTTTGTCAGGGGCAAGGCGTTGTTTTCTTGAGCAAGAAACTTTACATTTATTGCTTAGTACCGGTTGATTCCAAGAATGGATTTGAAAGTGTTACAATAAGCTTATAGCTTCCAACACAATCAAAATAAAAGAAGCTTGTTTAAACTACTACTTACTCCCCTTTTTTAACGAAGGAAAGTTTCTGTTTTATTATTATGCCCTTCACAACATCTTTTGTCTGTTCACCCTTCAAAATTGGAAGAAAATGTTTTGATTAGATTAGCAGCTTTATCTCATATGCATGTACTTGATTATTCATTATAAATGAAAAGAAATATATTAATTTAATATTACAGGATCAAGCAAAGCTATTCAAGCCTCAAACCAGGGCTCGTTTCAGCCTCGAAGGCGAAATCGTAAGGCAGAATTAGCGGCTCAGACTGCCGCAGAGCATGTCAAGAGGAACGGTATATGTATGGTACCAATCAGAATGGCTGTCCTCTTCTCTGGTATGTTCACTTAAAGGGACTCCACTGAGGTTTTTTGACATGACAGGACTTTAAATAAATTTTGGATATTAATGTTTCATTTGATGTAGGTCTGGACAAATAACTGGTGTACAAATTTTACATCATTCACTAACTCTGTTTTATCAGAATAAGTATTATTATTGTATAAAATACCCAAAATTGAAAAGCGTTGCAATGCTTGTGAGTTATCTATTTATGAACATTTTGTCACCTTAGTGCAGAAACAGGTTAACTCCTATTAAATTACTTAAGAAGTTAACCTGTTACTGCACTAAGGTGATGATTTGTATTCTTGTACTTGTTGTACTGAAATGTTATGATCTGACTTTAGGAGATAATTTTAATAATTCTTCTCAAAATTCAATGAGGTTCTACTATGTATGTTTGAATGGTTAAAACCCTTTGTGAGATCCATGTATTGCCTAGTTGAGTTCAAGTAAATACTGCTTTTTTTGTTTTTTTTTAAACAAGACCATAATATGTTAATATTGTCACCAGACTTCTAAGACATGTAAAACTATTTTTTGACTTGCCAGGTGTAGAAACGATTACAAACCGGTTGGATACCCCGGTGCCAGGCCTCGAGGATATGTTTGTTACCTTACAGCTTAACAAGCCGTTACTGAACGAGAAACAGAAACAGGAGTTGAACCCAATGATCATCAATATTCACTCTGTTACCAACATGCCCGCGTCACCGATGACCCATGAACAGCTGAAAGACAGGTCAGTTACTTTAACAAAGGTGTCTAATATATTTAATCTTTAGTTTCCCCGACGATAAAATCTTGCCTTACAGTCTTAATGATTTCTTCTTTAATTATTAGTTCGATTCTTCGATAAATTTTAAAATGTTTATAGAATTATAATTAGAACAGTTACAATATGTGACAAAACTAATTTAAGTTTTAATTTAAGCCTAAATTTTCTCTAGTTAAAGAACATAAACAGTATAGGACAAAACTGTTTAAAGTTTTAATTTAAGTCTACATTGGTCAATCATCCTTAAGTTTTCTTTGAAAAACATCAATCAAAAACTATTTAAGTATTGCTTTAAGGCTAAATCTTTCATTTATCCATTTAAAAACATTGAAGATCAATTTCAAACTAGACTTTTTTCACAGATGCCATAGTAACTGTTAAAAAAAACAATCTTATTTCTCAAAGAAAATTGTAAAAATATGAGTAATCAAATGATATTTGTACACTTTAAGTTATAAAACATAATTTGATGTTATGTATAATATTGCGAATATGTAATCTTGATTGTTTCTATTTAGCCGCGTGGTAAGAATATTACATGTATATATTGTAAGATCACATGTGAGAGTATAGTGAAACTTGCTCCGAACGTTTGTAATGGTCACATACTGTGCATGATTAACTGTTTATGAGGGCTCCATGCAAAACTGTAAAAAAAAAAATTAAAGAGAAAGTTAAGCCAGTTTTGCTGAGTACCTTTAAATTTTGTTGGTCTCGTATTTTCATACACATATTTTTTAAAGTTTATTCGAAAGTTTTTTATGGTTCTTTTACGTGTTGTAAGATGTTTAAGCATATTTGATATACACTTCAACATTATGCTTTATGTTAATTTTGATCAAATCCGCACAGTCTGATCAGGATCCATGCTGTTCGCTATCAGTTTCTCTACTTGTAATAGGGTTTGTTAGTGAACAGCATGCCGATCCTGATCAGACTGCGGAGATACGCAGGCTTGTCTGGATCCATGCTGGTTGCAAACGCATTATGTTGGTTTTGTCATGGCGCGGCTCAATTATAAGTTATTGTATAACAGAAGTATTAGAAATAAAAGATAAGTTAAAACAGTGATTGTTGAGGTCAGATATATATATATATTTATTTTAAATGGAATTTAGATGTAAAGCTAAAGCAGGGATTTTAGAGATCAAATTTCAGTTATAAATAAAGCAGGTATTTTAGAGAATCTTATTGATTAATAATTCAATACCAGTAAGCTATATATTTATACAGTATATAATGTCCTTAGAAATATAGCAGCTTTGAAACATTATATCGCAATTCATTTTGAATAAAAATTTTATCCGAGACTCAGAAAAGTTAAATTCCTGTAAAGCTCTGAGGATGTGAATTATTGCCCTATTAGTGTTGTTCGATTTTCGGATTTTTGTAGAAGATGGCGACAAAATTCTTTGAACTGTATACTAATTTGGTGATCTAGTTGTCGAGAGCTCATCACAAGAATAAATAACTGAAGCTACCGTATATATTCAGTTAAGATCCAATATTTGAGATAGACCAAATTCAAAACATTTTTTCAAAGACTGATGGAAAGATTTCATTTCATAATATTTGATTTATATTTGAAAGCTTTTTTCGACTATATGAATGGTAAACGTTTATGGTTCAAAAATAAACTTCATAGTGAGGTTTTGAACCATAAACTTGCATGATGTTAAAGGCTCATTATATCCAAAAAATTTTATTTCTATTTCTCAAAGCAAATTATTTTTTGTGTGTTATTATTGTTTCTAAAAAAGGACTTATTGGCAAATGATGTTTTGCTTCTGTTGCTTTTTGGCAAATAACACAGTTATAGTGATTTAGTATTTTGTGAGAAGTGGTGGTGGTGTTGGTTAGTTTTCACTCGGGATCACGGCAGTTAGCCACATTGAATTCACCATAGCACAGTTCAGCAACCGCATTGTTCCGGGGCAGGCTGTCAAGCAGTTTACCAGTACTAGTTGCCTTCCCTTTTGCAAGGAACTCATTACTTCTGTACATGCCAGAGCAGAGGTACAGTGCGAATGACCGTAGAAAGGATTTCATGAATGGGAATTGAACCAGGGTCGCCCAATTCACAGTCCAGCGCTCTTCTTATTGAGCTATCTAGATGGCTTTTTAGAAGTCATAATATTGCTAAACAGTTCAGGCCTCGACATTAGCGGTGGTCCATTGGTCCGAGACCACCTGATTTTGGCAAGGACCACCTAATTTTACAGGCAACTGGTCCGTTAGACCACTTGAATTTTCCAAATGGTGCAGGGCTCATCTGGGAGAATGGTTATTTGGTCGAAAAACGTGTTCTTTAATTGTTGTTGAAAACCATTTCTCCGATGTACAGGTACACTGTTCATTCATCTCATTAGTTCAAAAAGATCTTAAGACATCCATAACTTTTTATTAACTCGCTAACAGTGTAGTTAAAAAAGTAGAAAATTATTTTAATAATTAAAGTATAAAATTCATTCAAATGTCTCTAGTACTGCATTGAATTTATAACATTGTATCACTATGGGATATCGGATAAACACATGAATAATGGTGCAAACATTTAAGGCAAAGGAAAAATTAAATATCTAGTAATCTTTGGCTACTTTTTTAAATGATCAGAGATCCATTTTTTTCTTATTTAAAGTACTTTAAAAGGTTATAAATACTTTGTCAAAAATAAATAAATTTCAACAAACAAGCATGTATAATAAATCTGTGAGGAAGATAAGCTCAATTATAATGTAGGAATTTTTCTGTTTATCATTAATATTTCATTGTTTCAAAGACAAGAATATAATAACTTTATAGTTTAATTAAAAATGTTAATCTATAAATCTTATAAGATGTACCAGGAAACAGCAATGAGTATTTGAATAACAGTAAGGAAATAAGTCATTCACAAATGGTTTCACTATTCCCTAACTTGAGTTGCGGAAGAAGTCACTTAACCGAAGTATGAGTACTGTCATGTATTTTTTAATGAGATAATAAATACTAAATAGGATTACAATGACTTACTATCTGATTAGATTGAAATAGAAAAAATACATGTTTTCTTCAGTTGTTATAAATCTAATAATAAATATGTCTCTGTCACCAATTTTAAGTGTAGTTCTTCTAAATCTGAAGTTTCCTTAAAAACAAATGAGTAAAAAAAAAAGATGGACCACCTGTGTTCAGAAAGGACCACCTGAATTTTGGATCCAGTGGTCCGGCATACCACCTGCTGAAAAAGTTAGTGTCGAGACCTGAAGTTGTTAACATTTCGCTTCTTTTATGACACATTACTGCTTGTTCAGTTATAATGAATATCAAACATTCTTAAACATTATGAAAGTCATGTTTTCCTTTTCTAAAAAAGAAATAAATATTCGTTTCTGAGGCATAATGTGCCTTTAACTTGAACGTATTTAGCTGGTTTGCACTGTTCACTATTCAGCCAGTTTTGAAATTTTCCCTAAAAATGAAAATTGGCTTTGTTCAGATTGAAAGCCCACTAAAGATATTTAACCTAGTGTCATTTATAGTTAAATATTTGGAATTTATTGTGCGACCCACAGAACTAAAATCTGATTTTACTGTTATTGATTCAAACATCATGTTACATTATCTGATAAATCAGGGCCTGCTTCAGTGAACATATTGTCAATTATAGACGTTCAAAACTGAATGCCATGTGACTGTATGTCATTAAAATATTTGTTATTGCTTTAAGAACAAATATAAATAATTGGGTCTGGTGTTTTTTCAGAAGAACTACGGTAGTCTTGTATTTATAGAATACCAGCTTGTTAGTAATGAATTGGAATTTGAGTTTAGAATTAACGTAGAAGGAACTGACGTGTAACAAATTGACACTTTGCTGATGAAATGGTGCGAAAAAAATGTTCTCGAAATAGCTATCTGTACTTTAGGGCAAAGAATATTTTTGTTATTTTTACAATTTTCTCAATAAAGTTTTGAAGAATTTGAATTTTAACATAATTTGTTTATCTATGGATTAACTTGTGGAGAGTGATAGGAAAGGATGTGTTTTTTTTAATGGGTTATTTTTGTTGATGCATGTATATTTAATATCTTTCCAATTCAAGATGCTTATAAAATGAGCCTATGGGCTTTTAGGGTTAAGGCATAGACTACAGGAATATCTATTAATGGTTAAAAGGCAGTATATTGTTTTAAAACATGAAATCATTGACAACAATGATGTGTGAAGAAGTTGGCAGATGCTCGCAGATATCATATGATAGTACATGTATATAATTGGCCATTTTCTGTGTAACCGTTAACATGCATGGCTGGAATATAAAGTAATTGTTTATAATCGCATGAAATGAGAGAACCATCCTTTAAGTGAATGGAAATTTCATATCCATTAAACAACCTGTTACTTCCTGTAAATATTCTATTGACCCCCGCAGCCGAGGAAAGTCCCCCGCCAAAAATATCAATATCCGTTCTCCACAGGAAGACTCGATTGATCTGATTAATGGAACGAGAATAAATGTCCTCAAAGTAATTGCATCCATCAAGTTATAGCTAGTTTAGGATATTCAATATTCCATGAAACGCTTATCGTAAGTTTTCTCCCCATTTTATCAATACGGGATTGATTTTGGTTTTTCCAAAGAACAATTTCTCTTTCTTGATAAACTTTTAAAAGCAGTTCATCTTGAGAATATTATTTTATCGGGCGCAGTAAAAGTTGCTTTCGATTACTGGAAGCAGTTTAATTATGGCACATTTTAAGATGTAGCGGGGAAAATTAATTGTTTGGTTGATAAAGAAATTGTTTTATTTTCATAGGATAAGAAAGTCAGTGAATCTGCACGACGATATTGAATAATTTCTGAAATTTGACATTATTGGCTCTTCATAATAAAATTCTTGATTTTACTTTTAACTGTTTATGTAAGATTATGTAAGTCTTATAAAATTGGACCCAAAAATTGGATCTTTTATCTCAATAGGCTCCGAAGTTAATTGAAGAATGAGAATATTTGACCATCACTGATCTGAATTTGATGT